GAATTTTTAAAGGGTCATCAGTTTAAGTTACGTCACGAGCAGTATAAAACTAGAATACGTGAAGACTTCCGTAGCAATCGGGTCCTCAAAGCTCTGCCTGCTAACACAATTGAATCAGTAAACGGCCACTTCCTTCAAGTTCAAGATTTCTTCTTTATAGAGTACGTTAACTGGTATATGATTTGTTCTAACTAATAATGAATTCTTTCTGTAGCATATGAGTCATGAGCTTAATAGGTACTTTAATGCCTCAGCTCTAAAGGTCGATTTATAAACTTGCCGTTGACGTTGCTGTTCGCCGCTGACGTTGCCGTTGACAATTGAGCTAGGGATGGATACGGGTGGGGCTTAATCTTTGGCTTCAATTTTTTCTTAATATACATAGCTATCTGTTCACAACAAGAAACTTAAAACATGGCTAAAATAGTACATTTTTACAAAGAAATATCCATTTTGCAATTATGGGGTAGAGCCTAATTGCGAAATCGATATTTCCTTTTACAAATTTTCCATTTTAAACATGTTTTAAATTTCTTGTTGTGAAAATAAGTCTACACACATTAAAACAAAAAGACAAATTCTAAACCCGCCCGCCCGCCCTACCTGAATTGTGATGATTTTTTTTATTCGCCGAGAACCAAGGGGGCGGAGCTTAACTGCAAAATGCTTATTTCTTTACGAGAAATTAAAAACATGTTTTTGAGTATCGTGTCGTTCAAAGAACACTATGTTTAAAAAGAAAAAAATGCAAAATATAAACCCTGCCCACCCGCCCCATCTCAATTGTGATGATTTTTTTTTATTGTTAGAAGCTTAAAACACGTTTAAAATGGTAAATTTTTGTAAGGAAATATGGATTTTGCAATTAGGCTCCGCCCCTACGTTTGCCAATGAATGAAAACTTCATTACAATTTAGATCAGGGGATAACTTTAATAAGTTAACTATTTAGTTATAGTGAATAATTCCCCAAATACGCGAATTGTCAAGTTGTCGCTCTTAGAAGATTCTAATAGGCCTTTTAGACGCTAAAACGTTAATATTTCAAAACACAAAAAAATGGGTGGGGCTTAAACTTTGGCTTTAATTTTGTCATAATATTTATAGTATTTTTTGAATAACACGATACTCAAAAACATGTCTTACATGGTAATTTCTTGTAGAGAGACAATAAGGATTTTGCAATTAAATCTCGCTCCTTTGGCTGTTGACGATTAAAAAAAAATCATCACAATTGAGATAGTAGGCGGGACTTATGTTTAGCCTTTTTTCTTAACATACGTAGTCTTGTCAAAATTAAAACATGTTTAAAAAGGTAAATTCTTGTAGACAAATATGGATCTTGTAATTAAGCCCCGCCTCTCGATCTGACAACGAATGAAAAATTCTACGGGCCTACATTTTGCCTTTTTTTCTTAATATGTATAAATGTATTTCGACAATAAGAAATTTAAAACATGTCTAAAATTTTCGTAGTAAAATTTTTGTAGTAATCAATGACTGACTACGCTCTGAAAGAAGCGTGTCTTCACAATCCCTTTCTGAAAACTAATACGAACTTTAATGTTAATTAGAACCATCCATAGTTATCACTACTAGAAAAAAAAGCCGGTTTTTAAATTCACAGCTCGTTGGCTGTACCATTTTCCAATTCCGAATCACTAAACGCGCGGTCCTCACTATCTCATTAATTATATTATTATTATTATTAGTGATTGGAAAAAAATCAAACACTAAGGTTGTACAGTTATTTGAGATATCGAGGAGCACCCGTTTAGTGACTCACCGTGTATATCGGCACGGAGTAGAACTAATGGAAGAATTACAGTTTCCCTGATTAAGAAGAGTCCGTTTTGACGACGACAGTTTGCACTACAAGATTACTACAGGACAATATGATGCTAATTTTACGATCTTATAAGAATATTACCGTCGCAACAACAAAGTTAGAGCTTCTTTATTACAAATTTGTAATAAAATTTGTTATAAAGGAACTATGGTTAAAGTGTTAACTCCAATAAACCACTATCGATACAAAAAACTAAATTAGTTCTTATTAAAATGAATAATGTGTTTGTTAGTAATAAGTAATGAATTTGCATTAACTTGAAAATAAGCTGCCTCTAAAGCATGTTATTCAAACAAATATTCATTGTATAAGTGTAGTAGGGATCTACACGGCCCTCCAAACTGTTCACAAATGCTATTTTGTCCGTATACCTGAAGTATTACTAAGCGCGAAACTAAAGAATAGACGCTTGCCCCAAAATACGGATTATTATTACGGATAGTAAAACTTCATAATTTGTACTTGACTTCTAGACACATTGTCTGGTAAGTTTCTAGGATTTTAAATTATTTTAAAAATATTTTTAGGAATTTAGCGTTTACAAAGGTTTTCGTCATTAACCTCGGATTTATAAATTACAAATGACTCAAATTTTATAGTCTCGCTTGTTATTTCAAATTTGTTATTTACGTAATGTCAGTCAAATGTATGTATGACTGTGGAAAAAAATTAAATGATCGCATTTATCATGGCCTAATTTTTAGTGTGTTGAAATAAATGAAGAACGATTTGAACACAAGTGATATAATTTAATTAAATATGTAGATAATGTAGATATTAAGTTCTGTTCAATGCAGAAAACATGACTTTTTATAAGTAGAAATGGATGATTGTAATGTATTAATTTTCAAAGATAGTTTATTTCCCGCCACGATTGGGAATTATAGATGCGAGTTATTTTTTCAGGGTTTTTCAATTATTTTATTTAGTTTGTTTAATGGTGCTAGCTATAAGATTAATGGTGCTAGTTGGTGCTAGCTCTAAACTATTAGGTGCTAGCTTTTCATTGTCTTTAAATTATATTGCGGGGCTAGCGTTAACTTAGCCCCCCCCGAAAATAACCCTTTATTACATGGCTTTATTGAATAAAAACACACTTTTTTTTAATGGATCCAGCGAGTGCTAGCTCTAGACTATTAACCTACTGATTTTTACCATTAAAGAAAAAAAAGTGGGGGCTACTTTTTTTTGGTTTTTAATTTTTTTTTAATACTTGCAGAGTGGTGCTAGCTATGAAACTAGTGGTGCTAGCTGGTGCTAGGTCTAAACTACCTCGGACCAACTTTTCATGAGAATTAAATAATGTCGGGGGGCTAGCGTTAACTTGCCCCCCCCCCCGAAAGTAAAAGGCTTTTATTTCAATAATTAGGTGGTGCTAGCTTTTTGATTGGTGGTGCTAGCTGGTGCTAGGTTAGAACAACGAGGTGCTAGCTTTTGAGTAAAATTCATTAACTTGGTGGTGCCAACTTAACGGACCCTTTATAAATGACAATTTTGACCTCTAAAAGCAATGTCAGCGGGAACAGCAACTGCAACGGGAACTTCAACGTCAACAGCAAGTTTATAAATCCCACTTAAGTTATAATAATAATAATAATAAGAGTTATGTAGATGGTAAAACGCTAACCAAAATTTGGTTCATTATATTGCGTAATAAACATTATCCTAATTGTATGAAATAATATACTTCTGTATTTGTAGTTCACGAAGCTACCTTGATTTTGTTTATTACTATTAGATTTGTTTATTGTTTAATCTACATTTTGCTTTAAACATATAGTACGAAGCAGTATAACAACTAGCGTGGCTCATTGGTAGCGCACTCGTCTCGTAGCTCCAAAGTCCTGGGATTTAAGCTGACGGGTGGCACATCTTTTTTTTTTGTTCAAATCAAGAAAAGTTCACCTCATTGTTTTGAAAATGTAAGAATATACTAATTAAACGGCCGTGTATATTTAATAATAATAAAATCTTCATAATAGCTCGCCCAAAATTATATTCGGTCCGTCTTGCTCCATTGTAGCTCGATTAATTAAATTAGTATTTTCCTCTAATTTGAGAAGTCAAAATCAAATTTCGTTTTCTTTAACGCAGATGCTTGTCGAATTCATTCAAAGTATAAACATAAACAGTCGAAGTTACGCATGTACTGAAACATTGAGAATACATGTTTTCCCGTTAGTTATCTGTCACAAATATATTTTAAATTAAACGCACCCCCTTGGAATTTTCGCCCGCGCGGCACAGGCCTTACACTGTTACTGTTACAGTTTAAGATAGTCTAGGGATTTTAATTCTTGCGTTACAGACTTTAAAACATTTGCAAAGTTTTCTTCAAAATTCTTTAACCACTGGAATAATTAACACCAACTTTCTGGTCTTAACGAAGTGGACGGCTGTTCTTCTATTGCTGCCATAATTCTTGCTTTATTCCGTTTTGAAAATAAGATTCTAATTTTTGTTCAATAGTGAAATTAATTTTATAACTTTCTTGACCAATGTACTCACTTTTATTTAAGCTTTTTTTTTAATCTGAAATTTTTGACAAATGTCTTATCAGGAAAAAGGGGGAGAAGGGGAGAAGTGGGGAAGCTATGACGCCTTGTTTATCCAAGACCTACTGCAAAGTGTAATACCTACTTTATTAAAGTTAACTATTTAGTTACAGTGAATTCCCCAAATACGCGAATTGTCAAGTTGCCGCACTTAGAAGATTCTAATAGGCCTTTTAGACGCTAAAACGTTAATATTTCACAACACACAAAATCTGTTGCAAAAAGTATCAGTAGAAAAAAGAAGGAGAACGTTTTTAACATACAGAGAAATACAATATGAACTATTATGTTGAAAAAACGGAGTCAAGTAATGATTGAAATAAAAAGTACATCCTTAGGAAGACAAGAAAGAGACCTATAACGATATAACCTCATATTCTCTGTCACTAGGCATGGAACTAGATTTCGGTACACGGATTTTTGTATCATTTATCTAATTCTCTCACTTGACATAGTTATTTCTACTAATACTAGGACCCGCTTTATCTATTTCTTTAATTGATTTTATTGTATTTGAACTTAACACTATCTTGGCACTATATCAAATTTGTTGCTATAGTCATGGTTGTAAAATAACTGATTGTAATTAAGTCTTACCGGGTTGCCTAAGATGTCCATGAGGATCTAATGACGCTTTAGTCATACCAGTTAACGTGTTGGAACCATAACCTGAAACAAAGCAGATAGTTATCTTAACATGATGTGCGTATTCTGAAACAGCACTGAAATCCTATACACGCTCGACTAGCTTTTGTTTCCACGGCTCACTTCAACCGTGTTTGGAGGCCATTCGCGTGGAAACCGACAAGAGAATCCTTTCCGCAGGGTGGCAGCAGCCACTCTCTTACCCTCGGCTTATTTTAACCTACTGTAGTTTCTCGAATACAAATATTTCCACAATACCGTATGGAGCAAGCAGTAGCAGGAGTAAATTTATGCTCACTGCGAGATTATTCCCGTTTGCAGAGACAGCAAGAATTACGTTGGAAAACTGGCAAATTTAAGCCAAACAATGTTACTTGATAGGAAAAAACGTCAACAAGTACAAAGTGACAATGAAGACATCAAAGGGAAATCAGATGTGCCTGGGGTGGTTGTGCCTTTGATCGTCGGAGCTACAGTCACATCCTGCCAAATTTGTGTGGATGAAAACAATTGGATTGCGTGCGAAAACACGGTAAACTTTGAAAATGGCAGGGCTCCATGTAAATCTCTGAAATATCGTTAGTTTTATTATTTTGTATTGTGTATCGCTGGAAGGATAAAGTACTGGAGGAAACGCGTCACGTTAAAAAGCCGCCTGTATTGATAAGGGGGGAGCGCATGGCATAATACCGAGTTAAAATTATCTTAATGTTATGATTGACACTTTCATTCAACGATTGCAAATGAAAGCGAGAAATCGATGCTTCGTTTAATGGAATTCTAGTGTTATCTCATCCTTTCATGCATCGACCGGTTTGGTCGCATGTGTGACAGGACCCAACGCGTAAGAACTAAACGATATGACGGAACACGCCGCGGAGGTATGCAGTTGTTATCAATTATTCTTCTGAAGTCTGATTGGGTTCCCGGAACAGGAAAGAGTCCTTCCTTCCCGGACTCCCGGAGCGAATGTCCTTTTCCGATTCCCTGTCCTATCTCCAGCACGCTTCAATGACTTCTCTTATTTTCCTTTTAAATCTATTGCTATTAGCTTTTGTCGTTCCGAACGATCCTTTGACACTTCTGTTCCAAATTTCGGTCAACCGGATAACGACTCGTCTTAATCACTTGAAACAATAAAAATTAAGATTCTTGGCTGCCATAATGAACGAGTGTCATCTTAGTAGCACACACGCTCTTGTTTTGTACAAAATTTGTAGAAATGAGAATTCTAATTAAATGTATTGTGAATTAAGCTCATTTTTATTGTTATTGCGTCATTGTGACGAATGCCTAATTTCGTGCTTTTTCATTTCACAGTTTATAAAACACGAAAATGTTTGTTGCGTATTTGTTGAGGATTTTGTAGTCATATAATTTTCCGAAACTAATAAATTGATCCGGTAAAGTTTTAAATGTAAGTTTTAAAATCATCTACATCTATGCTTTTCTCTTCATCCGTACCAAAAATTTGATGTCACCTCAAAAAAATTAATATATGTATGTTTATCCTTAAATTCAACGTCGTTTTGTTCTTTTACTTCCAGAGTGTACGCTAAGAAAGTATGTATTGTAATAAAGTGCATCTGGCGAATGTCTACTTGCATGTTTTTTCAACGTTTCATGACCCTTAGAGTATGAAAAAATAAGTCTCCCGTTTCCGTCTACCTGTCATTTGTTGTCGTCTGAATTAACAATTGCGAAATTTTAGGAATATCGTGCATGACAAAACATTAAACAAAACTTATCTGATCATTCCCATCAGTTATTTGATGAGGTCACCAATTTTGCGTAGTAAATGTTATGTAAATGTTATAAAACAAAATACTCCTATAACTGTAGTTCATGATGCCGCCATGATTTTTGGCCCAAAGCATCTACATTTTCGCAAAAAAAATGAAAGTTCTGTAAAAATATTGTAATATAGAAAACTGCATATCCGAATGCTCTATTTTTTTTTATTTAAGGCTATCGTAAATCGTACATCAAAATTTCTGATTATATCCCCTCAAAAACTTGATGACGTCACCTCAAAATTTTTCTGGATAAATTATATCTAAAATGTGAAAATTTTTGGAAGAAGCTGGATTTGTTGAACTTTATAGCACGGCGAGGGAAGTTCTGTCTAAATAATCTTACACCAATTTTTGTAATATATTTTTATATTTTGATGTTGCTTACGTAGGATGGATTATCTAATTTTTTTGGAATTCTAAGAATACAATATTGCTTTGTGTCAAAATTTACATCTATCTTCACAAAAAAAATGACATTTCGATTTTAATATTCAGGCTGTCCTACATAAACCTCCACGGCCTTCTATTTTAAAGATGGACAGAGATATACAAATTTTCTAAAGCCATTGTTTTAACATTGAAAGGAAAAGTTAGTACATTGCAATTATGACTCACACTTAGATATTTATTTCATTTTCAATTGATAACAAAATAACATTTATGTAAAACTGAGTGCAATCAAACATTCACACTTTATTTTTTAATCAAGAAGATCTGTTTCAAAAGCAGTTAAGTTATTTTAGCATATGTCAAAAGATGATAGTCGTTTATTTCACTCTACTTTTATTTGTTACTTTATTTTAAATGTGTATATCATTGTAATTCCAATTAAAAGTGATCCCATATATGTGTGATATTTGTATGTGTATTAAGTTATGCTTTCTCCTTGAAGCTAAAAGCAATGGCGTTTACAGAATTATAATACAAATCTCAATGCATTCTCAAAATATCAGGCTGCGGAGTTTTAATGGGACAGCCTGTATACTAATGTTGATTAATAGTCCACATTTGTTCCATTGTAGCATATATACGTCACTTTAAAAAAATTGGTAAAATAAAAATTTATTTTTAATTTCAAACATATGGGGTAATGTAAAAATATCAACATCCTACAAGAACATTTTACAATTATCTTAAAAAGTAAGCAACCAACTCTTTTGGTAACTTCCTGGATCGTGTGAATGTACTAGTAAATGCTTTTGCTTTAATTAAAAAAAGACAATTGTACAGTGTAAGACAAAAATATAGAACTAGTCAAACACCTGACACGCACTGGGTCTAACAACGCAAAAATTAATATTATACTCATTTAATAGAATATAATGTAGCAATGAAACGTATTATTAAACTTGTATTCATATATGATTACAGTAGTATATTATTTAAATGTATAGTGTGAACATCATTTATAAAAAATAAAAATTTGATTTCTACAAATATAGTTTGTTAATTTCTGCAAAATAATGTCTTCGTTGAGGCATAATCTGCCGTCAAACACAAACTTTAATATCTGTGCTATCGTATGCAATATGAGAACGAGATTCTGTCCCCGAGCGTTTAGTTTACTATCCAAACTTAATAATGGCAGTCAAAGCCCTGATTGCTGCAAGCCAGCCGAAGTGTCACGGCCGGGTGCTCGGGATCAGAGGTTTCGTGTGAATTTTGACAACCCCAGGCTACTGTCACTGACGATTGCCACCTCAGAAATGTTGTGGTTTAGCGTCATATCACAAACCTCGTTACTTCCGTTCCAGCACCCGAAAGCTATTCATTTATGCGTGTAATAGAGCCCACAAAGTTTCAAAGGAATTACAGCGAGAATGTGAAAGAGATGTTTGGATTTATACTACACAGATGTAATGCGCAATTTATATAAAATTTTAGAAAATGGAAAAAAGCGCTAAACTAATGTATTGGGATGAACATAAGATCTAATTAGATTTCTAACTAAAGTTTATTTTTGAAATTCCGATGCGACGTTGCCACATGTGTCATTGAAATTTTTAGCAATGTTTGCAATTTACAAAAGAATCGCAAACATTTTTTTTTATAAACGCTTTGTATATTAAAATTTGATTCAGTTTGTACTGCAACAAAGTGGGTACTTGTTATTAATCTTTCCATAAAATTAGAGTAGCACAGATCTTACAAGTAACACTTCTGCGATTTTTTTTTGTGAGCCCTACGTTGCAAAAACATTCAAGAAAATTAGAATAACATGGCAATGTCGCATCAGAATTAAAAAAATAAACTATAGTTATACTTTGGAGGAAGAGCTACATAAGAATATATGTAAAAATATATAGAATGTTCTATCTTAAAAACTTAAATTGTGTGCTATGCTTCAAAAACACTACTCAATTAACTGTACAATTTTGGTCTCTAATAATAATAATGAGATATTGAGCGCACTTTTAACGTACTTGCGTGATTAACTGATTAATCTCTCGGCACCTTCACCTAGCCATTTATTACATTTACTGATATTCAGTATTTATTACATACGGTAAATATAAAATTAATGTCCGGATTAAAATAAAAGATAATTTTTAGCTGTATTTGTTACGAACACGAGGTGAATGTACAGTACAGTGCTGAAAATATCTGGCCCATTAGCTCAGTTGGTTAGAGCGTCGTGCTAATAACGCGAAGGTCGCGGGTTCGATCCCCTCATGGGCCAACTTTTTTTTAATGCTGTGAGATATTGATAAAAAAAAAGATAAAAAATTTACAACATGGAGATATATAACTGCCGAATCATCGAATTTTATTGTCTAAAAAACATTTATACAAATGTTATGAGTTTTGCAATACTAATATGAATAAATCTATAAAATTTATATCCTAGACCACGGTTAATATTTTATCGATATGCTTAAACGTTTAGAATTATTTTTTTATGTAATAAGTGTACAGACACTGAAGATTTCTAGTGCCCTAATTATAAGGGAAGATAAAATGTGTAATAAGTCTGCTTCGGATAAAAGTACATTTTTTATGACCAGCAGAACAAGCGTTTATTGTTAAATATATCAATACGTACAGCTAAAACCTAATCTCGGTTTACAGGAAAGATATAATATTCATATTGGATTTTGTGTTCATTCTATGACTATCTTAACACATTCTTGATATTTGCGGCTTTTTTGCCTTCCATCAGTTTCATCTCACACAATATGATTACTTTTAATTTACGTAAAAACTGAGTTAAAATTATATCAGATCAGA